CAGGTTCAAGGAAAGCCCATGTACAAGCTGTTGTGTTGTTCTGATGTCAGCCTGGTCCAAGGTGGTGTACAGTCTACAGCTTGACCAGGAAGCATTTTGAGGACAGGTTCATGGCAAGGATGAAAGGATACCTTCTGGTATAAAAAGCTTGATTGTAGAAGTGAGCTTAGGCTGCGCTTAGAAATGCATCTTGGATCAATTGATTCGATCCTGTAACGAAGCAGCATGCCTGCAAGTTCATGCCTTTCCTTTTCCCACTGACTTCATGATGCAATGACTAGTCTGTTCCAGAGCTTCAGGGAAGATTCAGGAAAACATGCAGTAGGTTGAGATACCTCCTGGGAGGGCAGATGGAAATTGAAATAGGTTAGAAATGCTCTGCGAGCAAGCTTAATTAAAGGGAAAAGGCTAAAGAGGGTATATGTTGCATTTATTACAAGATGGAAGCTTTCTTTGGAAAATTAGTATTTTAAATAAAAGAGACTTAAAAATTATTGCTTTTATAGAAAATAAGATACTTTATTTTAGAGGATGAAGAAAAAAAAGCCAAGAGACCAGAAAGCAAGGGGAGGGGGCAGAGAAGGAAAAAGAAAGAGTGGGAGAAGAGATGGAGTCACTGGCACTGCTGCAAGGGCAGCACGTTTTTGGCTGGCAAGGGAAGCTGATGCACAGTCAGTGAAGATGAAGGCTGCCAAGAATCCTGTGTGCATGATTAAGTTCTGCCTACAAAATCATTAGGGTTTATGGTCACTTAAATTATTACAAATCCAAATATAAATGTTTATTTTCTTAAAATGGATTTTATTTCAGTTTGAGGGTTCTGGTTAAATGTGACATGCCTGTGCAGCCAGTAGCTTGAGCTGATGTGACTGAGCCAGTGCTGTTTCCTCCATGAGCTGACGCTTCACTTCCTGCAGCGAGTGGGTTCACTTGGGCCTGCCAAGGCTGCCGTGGAGGGATTCACAGGGTTGGACCTGGGTTTTCCACATGTCCTTATGTGTTTCCTGCTGCCCATATATTTTTCTTTAATCACATCAATAACCACTTTTGTGAAAGGTGAAAAATATTCTGTATCATCGATTAAAAACTGTGAGAAACATCCTTGGTAACCTTGTGTTGCTCCAGATGGTAAACTCTGCAGTCCCTTCATCATTTCAGTAAGGCAAAATACTTTTCAGTGGCTTGCCTTTTATCCTAACACTTCTAAAACATTTTTATACATGATCTTTTTCAAAGGTACTCTGGGGGATTTCCACTCCCTTGCTGTTTTAAAATGCTCATACTGTTGTGTTAACCACAAAGCTTAACGCTGGTGCACTCTGTCTCTCTTTCTCTCTCTCTCTCTCTCATTTTCTCCCCATTGAGGACCAGCTACCATTTCCAGGTAAGGCTTTACCAGAACGTGTCTTGTTAATGCTGACAGGATCTTACCATTGCTAGAATTATTTCTCATTTCTGAAGGGCTCTTAAGGGCCACAGAGTGTGGCACAGGACTGCGCTGGGGGAAGGCTGCAGACCCCAAAACATCTCAGAAACTGTGTTCACCCCTGAACCGGCAAAGTGATGCCACAGTGTCATAGGGGTGAATGGCAGAGCCTTGTTGCTGAAATTTCTGTTGGTGCTTGGGAAGGTGCAAGCCAGTGATTGCTACAGAAGTGATGGGAACAAAGTTATTTTCCAGCTATGAGTGTGATTATTTTAAGGCAAAAGTTCTCTGTATTACTGTAAAAATATCGTGCTGATTAGACATAGAGAGATAATGCAAAATTAATTCATTATTTTTAGAACATCCAGGGAAAACAATAGATGTAACAAATAAATAAACTGGTTGTAAAATCAGAGCTGCTTCAGCACCAGACAGACTTTGTTGGTTGTAAGAGTGGTTTTTGATTTTGTTTTTTTTAAAATGCTATCTGTGTTGTAATCTATGTCTTAAAAACCTGCTGAAGTCTAGTCTTATGGGAATTCATTGTAATGCTTGACTGTACCTCTATGCAAAGGAAACCCTACCGTCTTACTCTGCTTAGTGAAAATTTGCCTATGGAGATTAGCAAACTGATGCTTGCTTAATAAGATTTTACTGTGCCTTGACAATAAGGTAATACTGGAATTTGGATAGGATAGTATTGTCTACATCCAAAAGAAAATGTTTGTTCTGCTGTCCTTTGCAGCAACATCCCCTGTAGGTGCTCAGCCACATATCCAGTAGGAAATTGTTGCTGTTAGAAATATTCTGTCCTGGCTACCAGCAGGTCACTGCACTGCAGTTTTGAAGTGATTAGGTCAACAGGAGAGCAGCTCCTGAGGCTTAGTGCCAGGTGAAGTGGGAGTGAGCCCTGAGTATCAGCAGTGGGTCTGTGTTGGTGCAGTAGGGGATCCTTTCCCTCCACAGCCTCTGTGCTGGGGTGACACACGTGATGCAGCCGGGGTTCTTCTCCCCCATGGGGACTCTGCAAGTGTGTTGTGTTGTCAGCAGTCAAAATGTTGTATCCCTTCTGGGTTGGAAGGGACAAGGATGATCACTCAGTGATGTCAGATGTCATAATCTGCTGTTTTCACATGACTCCATATCATTTAGTATATCTTAAATATGTATCTCAAACTGTATAGATATTTTTAGCCATTCTTTAGCAGACTCTGTTACCTCTTCCACTCTGTATGTTAAGAGTTGGGGCATATATTTCTTGTCCCCAAAATACAGTGTTTTTGTAAAGGCATTATAGTAAATAGTAAAGCATACAACTTTGTTATTTTAATTAAAAAATGTGGAGGCAGCTAATCTACCTAGCTTATAAGGCAGCTTGGAGAGGGTCATTTTAATGCAAGGTATGTTCCCCTCCATCATGTTTCTGCCTGTCAGCTCCCAATGAAGTGACTTGATCTTAGACCTCTAAATTTGACAAACTTTTCCCACTGTGACTAAGACAGGCTTACAGTTCTGATGTACCATAAAAGGTAAATCATTTAAGAGAGAGGGACAGGGCATCTTCTAAGACTTGTCCCTGCCAGGTGCCTTAAGGCAAAGCAATAGAGCTGAAGTAGAGCTATAGGAACATAGGTGTATAACTTTTTTTCTATTCCCTGTTGTATGTATTTCATGAAAGCACGGTAAGTGAGGAAGTAATCACAGTGCTTTTTATTGAGGAATACCCCAATCCTGGAGAGTTGCTGAACATTGCCTTCCCCTCATGCAGTGAACATAGCAGAAACCACGCTCTCAGCTCCCATTTGCTGGGCAGCAGGACTAAGGATCCTGTCTTCTTGTCCATGCATGGTGACCAAATCTCTGATAACAACGCAGATATTTGCCCTTCTCAGTCTAAAAGGCATGGGTGGCACTCAGTGCCTGTGCCTCAGGTCTGCTATCCTGGAAGTTTTGGTGCTGCAGCCTGCTGTAATGGTGCACTCATAGCTCATATGTGCTGATCTTTCAGAGGGGTTTGGCTTCATGTGAGAGGAAACAGGAGAAAAATAGTCTCTTTAAAAAGAGCACCCACATTATAGGGAATGTTTTATCTGTGTGCAGAAAGTATATTTTTGTGACTAAAAGAAGTTAATCTGTCCACAATAGTTCAGTGGGACATCAGGTTTGTATATGGCCTTTGTCCATTCTCATACTGGTGCCATAGATAGGCAGCAGCACTACTGGAGGGGAGCTGTTTGAACATGGCTTTAAAATGTTAGTGCCATTTTATATCCTAGTAAGTCATGCCCATACTGATTTTTCACCTTATTATTATGTTGTACTCATGTCTTGCTCGGTTTCTGAACAGTTAGAAATACTAAGTGGGGTGTATTTTAATGGAAAATGTTTGGGTTCAATTTGGCGTGGTGGTAGTTAAAATAGGATAGCCCACATTTAATAAAGTTTATTTTTGTTATGAAAATTCTCCTCCTTGGATTACTTCCAGTGAAGTTAAAGCATCTATGTATGAAGAGTTGTTCCAGAAGCATTTTGCTTGCGCAGCTATTGGTGCAGGCAGGGCTGAGATGCTGAAGTGGTAGGAAGGTGCAGCTGGGAGCTCTTTGTGCTGTGCTGCCATTGAGCTCCCACTCACTGGTAGCTGTTTATAGGACTTGGGCTTAGCTTTTAGTGAGTCATACTGCTTTTTTTTATGTGTGGCCAGAATTAATTCTATTTATTTCAGTATATGGAAATCCAGGGTTTTTAATGGGTAGATTTTCAATCTCTGTAGACTGGGGGGTTTTTTGTGTGTGTGCTGTTGCAGTGGAGGTGCAGTGAAAATCCCTTTACTGCATGCACTGTGTGTCTGCCACAAGAGCATCATTATACAGCATAAACCCACCTCTCTCTGCTATTTTAAAACAGCATTATGGTTCACACGTGTGCTGAAAAATCTGAGAGTACACAAAGACAGGACACCTTCCCCTCGCTGTTAGCTGTGAGCAGGCAGAAGTGAAAGCGTCCCTCATCCCTACGTACAGTGGCCAGGCATTAGCGTAAGCAGGAAATTGATTCAGATAACCCTGCCGTGCTCTCACTGTCACCAAAAAGCACTTTTTCCCCTGACGGTTTCCCTTTGGTTTCAGTACAGAGAGCTCAGGTGCTGGAAGCCAGAAGTGGAAGAAGAGCTTCTGTGACCCGCCCGAGTCACTGGTGAGCACTGGGATGGGAATTACTTGCTGCTTGTGATGGTTTGGATCACATCCCGCCGAGCACTGGCTGGCACTAGGTCTGGCACAGGGCTGCTGTTTCTCAGCTCCTCTCCCCAGCTGATTCACACAGGCACCTCTCCAGCTTGGGCAAAGCATTGCCATCCACAGGCCCTCTCCTGGGGCAGCCCATTTCCTCCAGCAAAACAGCTGCAAACCCTGCAGCAAACCTTCTGCAAGGCTGTCAGCAGTGGCAAACACCCCTGATCTTCTGGGCACCCGGAGGTTTCTGTTCTGCACTCTGAGCAGGCAGGCTCACCTTTCACCTGAAATGCTCTTTCCTGTGCCCTGAGCTGCCCTTAGCTGTGCAGTGCAGTCCTGAGCGAGGCTGAGGTGGAGGAGGTTCTTTCACGGAGAGTCTCCATTTTTCGGGGTGGGTGCATTATGAAAGTGTTTAAGGAGATAAAGGCTCTCATTTCAACAAGAGAATTGGAAGGCGTTGTACCACAGCAGAGTATTCCTTGCAGAAAGAGATGGGAATGATTTTGGTTGATTTAATGAGCAGTGAGAGCTCTGAAGGAGTTTCTAGATGGGATTTTGGGCTGGTGACTATGTTTCTTCTTAATGTGTCCCATAACTTTTTTGCCTAAAGCATCTGTTCACCACAGCTGGAAGAAATTCTGGAATTAAGGAAGACCCTTAACAGCAAAATGGATAAAACATTGATTTTTTTTTTATATATGTGTTTTTAGACTGTGTGGCATTAGCTTGCTAAACCGTGCCATCAGATGATGTAAGTAATGGAGTGTAATAGGACTCAGGAAAGTGGATGCCATGTAAATGGGAGAGAGCACTAATAAGAAAAAGGAAGGAAAATTGTTTCAGGGTTCTCACCTGCTGACAAGAGAATGAGTTCTTAGGCAGTTCATCCTGTAGGTAATCTGTGCTGTGGAAATTGATGGTGAGAGCTCTCCATCTGCCTCTGAAGCAGCAGGCATTGCTCTGCTACTGGCATCTGCTACAGAGGCAGCCCAGGCATGAGGGTGGTAATCCCTCAGGCTGCATTTTGGCATCTCTGGTTGATGTGAGGAAATTAGAATTGGTCCTTATTAAATGTCAGGGAACTGGGAACCCCATTTTCAGTGAAGAAAAGGTCAGCTGTTAAAAATGAAAGGACCAAATGGGCAACCATCTCTGGTTTGAAGCAGGAGGCTGTTCATGTGGAGGGACCAAACAGGGTAATTTGCAAACTCCAGTTAGAATAATAAGTCTTTATGCCTGAAATATGATTAAGGTTCATATTCCTGAGGGGTGTCAATGTTGGGTGATCAGTTGTGCTGGAGTATGTCAGACATTCAGCCTGGTGGATAACAGGGAGACCCTCACAAGCTGGGAAGGAAAATACCATGTACAACCATGAACAAGGGTGCTGAGTTACAGGAGCACTCAAATGTTTGCTGTGGAATACATTTTAGTTGTTTAAGTGCTTTGGCTTGTTTTTTGTTCAGGTACACTAACTGTCCGCAGGAATTCCTTGCTCAGTGTGGGTTGTTGAAGTAGAAAGGAAAATGGATGTTGCTTTCTGAAGCCTGATGTGGTCTGTGGCAGTGCTGCACTGTGCATAGCACAGCACTACTCATTGCTTTCATGGGCCAGGAACACATTGCAGCAGAGAGGCAGGGCAGGGTGTCTGTACTTGCCATATTATTTCATGCCAGCCGAAAGGTTGGTGGTGTGTTGGCCCTGCTTCCCTCCGAAAGCAGCAGATACCCTCAGTGACCTTACAGCAGCTGAGTGAGAGCTCTCAGAGAGGTGCTGATGCCAGAAAGAGTGACTTGGGTATCTGACAGGATGGGTGGTGCGCACAGAGGAGAGATAGCTTCCCGTGGCACCGCTATAAAATTGAGCACTTCTCCTGTGAAACAATCTGAGAGCTCAGGTGTGTTGTGCTTTTGTATGCATCCTGTAAGGAAAACGTCTTCTGAGTGCAAAGCTACAAGAAATGCAAATCAGAGTGGCTCTAGGTCTTGAACTACTTGCAAAAAAACTACCGTGAGGTTAAGGGACTGGTGACAAAGGTCTCAAGCTTTGTGTCTTAAGGCTGGAAAAAAATGTTGACAGTTTTTCCTACTGGGAAATTGCATTCCTGTGCCACATATGAACTTCAGTAGGTTGAAAGAAAAACTTACGTCACACCTCTGATTGCAATCTCGCTTTTCTTTCTTTTTTTTCCACCACTTCTTTCAGATGGGATTAATATAGCCAAGGACTTGCACATAATTTAATAAAACTTTGAAAAAGTAGGAGTTTACTGCTATAAATGAGGGATCAACAGAAAAAAGAAAGATGTCAAGTTAAGAGGCTTCAACTCCTGCAACACCTAAACTGAAGGTAAAATCCCCTTGCTGCCTTTTTTTTGTATGCTCCTTGCTGTGAACCACAAAGCCACCTCCTGCTTGAACCATTGCAATGAACTTGTGAAGTCATGTGGGTGGGCTCTACCTTAAGTGTAGACTTTCCTGGTGAACATTAGGGCAAAGACTAGGCCTCTGCTTTCCCCAACCATGCCTGACTACTGACTCTGGTAGTTTTTTCTGCAAGAAAATATTAAAAAAAAAAAACAAACAAAGATCTCTGTTTACAGATTGTGATACTCTTTTCCAAAGGAGTATGCTTTGATGCTTGTCACATAATCATCGTTTTGCAGTTCTCTGAGCGTTTTGTTGTTCTTCCATAGCTGGTGCCGTGTTTCCCTCTGGAATCTGTCTCACCCCCCTGCAGATGCCAGCCCTCCCACGAGCGGCACCCTGCTGCAAGTGGTAGCTGGTGCAGTGAGGCTACCAGTGAGTATTTGAAGAGATTCCCCCTGTGTCTGCTTCCCAGTGCAGCTCCCATGGCCTGTGACGAACCCACTGCTCTCTCGGGCATCTTCACGCGCCAGAACTCTGCCAGCACCATCTCTCTGGACTTCGAGCCTGACGCGGACTACAAGTTTGTTGAAACCTTAGAGGATCGGTACAAGTGCGCCTACTGCCACCTCGTCCTTCACAACCCCCACCAGACGGGATGTGGGCACCGATTTTGCCAGCAGTGCATTCTTTCTTTGAGGTGAGTGCAAACTCCTCCTGTGTTCGCAAACTCCCCATATTCCCTTTCCTAAAAAAAAATTCAACATCTTCTATGAATCAGCAGTGAGTGCCATAATAATATTACTGCTTCAGTAAGACGCTGAAGGAGTCAATGGAAAGACTCTGATGAACTCAATGACTGCGTGCTCAGTGTTTTAAAGGTGCTGGTGAACCACAGGGAAGTCAGCATTAAGAAATTGTTATGTAAGCTGGAGCACTACTGTGTGAGATGCTGTTTCAGTCTGTCTGTCTGACATGGTGCTCTGCAGAGAATTTGGTTGCGGTAATGTCTCACAGTATTGGCACTGGTGGTTAGATTAAGTGGTGGTCACTTTTTTCTGTAAAATTTCTTTGGAAATTTTTTTTAGTGGAGGTATAAAATTGTTGTTAGTATTACCTGATACTGCAGTCAGATCACAAGGCTGCTGGCATCTGCTTGAGAATTATCTGCTACAAATTACTCTGCCCCACAGACCTGTCTGGGAATACATTATGTACTGTTTGCTGTTCCTGAGGGCAGAATTTCTCCCGGCAAGGCTGCAGAGGAGCCTCTTTATGTGGATGGATGTCGCTAGTTACCTTTTGTGAATTTTAGATGCTTCATATTTGCTGCTTTCTCTCTGGGTTACATCCCTTTTGTACTGCCTCAATAAGTGTTTTCCTGCCCCTTATTGCAGGATTTCTCAAAGCCTTTTAAGGCAGCAGCCATTAGATCTTTCACTGGTGTATCAAGGAGGGCACTGCTTCTGCTAGGCAAAGGCTGGGTTTAATACACAATGGGATTTTTTGAGATACAACATTTGAGAGCAGCAGATGGCCAAAGAGTGACAAAGTCCTCTTAGTTTAAAACCATCTTATGGTTTTTACCATTTAACATTCAGAGGACAAACTCTGTTTTCTGTTACACATTCACATTCAGATTAATGCCCTCATAGAACTCTGGGCAGAATTTGGCTGTGTAATTGGCAGATGAAAGTGGATTCGGAGCACTTTTTTGTTTTTATGGTGTCTGGTATCATATGTCTTAAGTCAGAGTCAGATTATAGCATAGCCCAATTTCATAAAATAAATAAAATTTTCTCTGAGTTAATATGACTCTTCTTATGCTCTAGGGAGTTAAATGCAGTACCCACCTGTCCTGTCGACAAAGAAACAATAAAAATGCACGAGGTAAGTGGCTATAGCTTTACTTCAGCAGGAGACATCTGCATGGAAAAGGCAAGAGTGCTGAGAACAAGGTGGCTCTTAGTCCTCATGGCAGAGCAGTTTTTTTGTCTCTGAAATGATGCTAAGGGAAATAGTTTACTCAGTGATGCTCTCCCAGAGAGGAAGTATGACTGTATACATAAAGATTTATTTTTATACTTCTCTGAATTTATTTCATTTTAGTCTTCTCTATTTTCAGTAAAGTGTCAAAGAGTTTCACAAAGTTCTAAATCTTCCCTAGTCATCAGATTTTTTTTTTTTAGTGGAGAGTTAATTGACTTACTTTTTTAATGCCCCATCTTGCTGGGTTATCTTGTTTATTAACTATCTCCATTAGATCTCATTAACCCTACAGACTTAATTTACTTTTGGGTGAGTTTTAGAAGAAAAGATAAATTCATCTGTTTTATTTTACACATTACTGTTGTTTTGGTTGTTTTGTTTGGGTTTTATTTGTTTGTTTGTTTTGTTTTCTGGTTGGAGGGTGTTCTGTTTGGTTGGTTTTTGTTTTAATTTGTTTTTTTTTTATAATGGATTAATTTGTTCTTATTTATATGCCAAGGCTTAAAAGTGTACTACTTTTAAGTATACTTAAAAGTATACATACTTGATCATGTCAGAATGAATTTTCTAGTAATATCAAATGTCTGCTTCCTCTCTGTCATACTCCTGAAAGGAAGCTGTAATTAGACTGTCCACGTGATTTTTGTTTTTCCTTTGCCATCTTCTACTTTGTACAAATTTTGATGACAACAGTGCAACATTTATAGTGCTCCTTACAGGAAGAGCTCTAAATAAGACTTAAAGTTTGCTCTGGGGGCTTAATTTGCTTCTGCACACACAACTCAGTACAGTAGAAAGATGTTTCAGCATCATCTCCATCCCAAAGGCATGCTGCACTGCTTGAACATTGTGGAGCGTGCACAGAGCTGGATGACCTTTGGGGCCTGTTAGCTCCAGCTGCTTTCTTCTAGGTACAGGCAGGCTTTGACAGTGGTTATATAGCTCCTGTGCTACTAGTCCTGCTGGCTGTGGGATGGATCAGCATCTGTGGAATAACTATATGGGGAGAAAGCCCTGTGCTTATTAGAAATTCATTTATGATTTTATTTATATTTATAATATAAATTTTCAATATGAATTATCAAGAGCCATACTCACAATTATGGAGTCTACACTTGCATGCTTAGGAGATCTGTAGTGATGTTTTGCTCTTTTATATTATTCATAACATCCTACATGGCTGCATACAAAAGCTGGTTTGCTTCCTTTACAGGTATTCAAAGACAACTGCTGTAAGAGAGAAGTTCTCAATTTGCATGTGTTCTGCAAAAACTTTCCTGACTGCAATTCAAAAATAATTCTGGGACGATATCAGGTTAGTTTGCTTGATCAGATTTTGAAACCTTTGATTTTCATGACAATTCTGTGTATTTATGATCAGCTGAATTCCAGTCATTGTCTTCAGAGTTATTGTAGCAATTTGGTTTAAGTACAAAAATTATGAATTAGCTATACACCATAAGTAACAAATATTATGGCCTTTGGTTATTTTTTTTTTAATAAGAACCATTTGTTTTATGTAGTATATGTAGTTTTAGTATATCTAGTAGTATTATGTAGTTTTAGTATAGCCGGTGTCTGTACATATTCTGAATGTTTAGGCACCATATGTTGATTCAAGGAAACTTGACAAGTCATACTGACCATTTGGGCCTTTTTTTGGTGTATCAATTGAATGAAAAGTGGAAGTCATACAGAGGACTCTGCCAAGTGTTTCTGTGGGTCTGCTGGGTAAACGGAGATGCAATGAAATACTTTGGGGTTTAATTTGCTGTTGTATGTTGCAGGAGCATCTTCAGCAGTGTTTGTTTGAAAGCATGCAATGCACTAATGATGGATGTTGTGATCGAATTCTTCGGAAAGACTTGAAAGAACACTTGGGCCAGCACTGTAAATTTCGAGAAGAAATGTGTCAGTACTGTAGTACATATGTGGTGTTCATTAACATAAAGGTAAGATTATGAAGCATTCCCTGGGAATCCCTAGTATGTGTTTCCTCTTGATGTTACCGAGTGAAAAGTCTCCAGCATTGCAATGGTACTTAACAACTCCTGAAACAAAATTTGGTTGAGTAGCTGAAGGAGAAAGTATAGTAAATATGCTTTAAGTAATACCAATTATTGATGCTCTCTTTTGAACAACAAGGTGATATGTGGCTTGCACGTGTATGTTTGGGATTACTTTTTGCATAACTTCCTCTATGTGTACATTTACAAAAAATGCAAACCATTGCCTTGTTCTGTTTCTTTTTCCCCAGAATCATGAAAAAGATGACTGTCCTAATTATCCTGTGCCTTGTCTCCAAAATTGTTCACAAATAATTCTGAAAAAAGAGGTACTATAATTTTTTCGTATACTGCGATTCAGCAGATCACACGCATTTATGAAAACTGAAAGCTGCATTGCAGACCACATTGGCCCATGCCAATAAAATTTCATTGCTCTAAGTATTTTCTTTGTTTGATTCTAAAAGGGATATATCTCCCATCTTTTAAGTGTGTTATTTGGTCACTGTAAGCCATTGATGTTTTGTAGTATGGAAAAATACCTATCTTGTTTATTGACTCTGAACACTCATTTTCCTGTTTAAGTGGTTTGCAGTTGTCGTGACAGCGGCCTTTATTCACCCCTGATGCAGGCTTTCAAATTTTATAAGTGCATCAAATGACTTAATATTTATTTCATCCCAAACTTCTTTGTTAATACATGCAGATTGAAAAGCACCAGGCTGTGTGCCCTGAGGCAGAAGTGGACTGCCCGTATAAGCAGTACGGATGTCTTGCAAAGGTACTGTTTTATAGATCTTTGTCTGTACTGGGACTGGACTTTGTCTCCCAAGCCAATCAGAATCATTAATCAAAATAACCATTTTATGTCCTTTCACAGTCATTTCTAACATTGGCTAAGATGCTATGCTAGAGAATCAGGACTGCCATTCCCTCACTTTCGAAGCACAGAGGAGACATTTTGAATGTTTTCATCAATACATTTTTTACTAACAGCTTCAAAAATTGACTTATTATTTGATTCTTTCACTTCCTCCTCTGCCTCACTAAGGTTAAAAGAGGGAAACTTGCTGAACATGAAAACACTGCCCTGAGGGAACACATGCTGCAGATTTTAGACAAGAACTCCCGGTTGGAAGAACAGGTAAGTCATGTTTAATGATCACTCTTCAGCGGTTCTTGACTGGTTGGAGGGTGATGTGATACTCTACATTTGTTGCCTAGTTTAGCTCAGCTACATTTTAGAAGACTGTTTTTATGGTCTTCACACACCTCAGAAGTCAGAATAAGCTGCTTCTAGTGAAGTCAGTCAGTTACATGGAAATCTCTGTGCTCAGGCGTGTATATTCTCCACCAGGCACAGCGGGAGGCTCGTTGCCATTGCTCACCTCATTTGCTTTTGGTCTCTATTTACAGTGGATATGAGGTTTGGAGATAAAGTATTTTAAAGTTTCATTGGCTGGTCAGGTTGCTCCAGAAAGGAGCCTTTACATGCCCAAGTCACTCACTCTGTATAGAGGCAGCACCAGAGCCAGTTGCAAGCACCTTTCTGCTCATGATCACTTCTGCGGCTTCCAGCAGGTGACACTGGGTGCATGCCCAGTCCTACTAAGGTGAATGCATCCAAACTGATGGTGGACTTCCTCTTTGCTTGTTTATGCAAAAAACAAGTGTCCCAAAGTGCTATAACTTGGTTTTGAAGTTTGTATCCCTCACCGACTCATCGCTTTTACTGGTTAGGCCTCAGTCGAGGGGGAAAAAATGTATATACATACACACAGAAACACACATGCACAGGTGTGCAAATAAGAATATATTATCCCACTATAGAGCTGAAGGGGATGGGGATGAGAGATATGAGCCTCTTTGCACCTGTAGCCACACAGATCTATTCAAGTCTGATTACCTTATGTTCAGTTCTTGCTAGTGCTTATCCTCAAGCTGTGAGTTAAGTAGTGCTCTGTCTAGCTCAGTTAGAGGCTTTGCGTTGTAAACTTTTCCACTGCCACATATGTTTTAATTTCTTTATTGTATATTTTGGTGTTCCTTAGCATTTATACTCTGCTTTTCCCATCTATAGATATCTGACCTATATAAGAGCCTGGAATGTAAAGAGATTAAAATCCAGCAGCTGGCAGAGGCCATTAAAAAGTGTGAGAAGGAATTCAGACAGTATACACAACTGTTTGGTAAAAATAGCAACTTGATGGTAAGCACACAGGTGAGACATTGATTTTACCTTTTTTACCAATTGCTTTCTTACATCCTGACATGTTTATCCAGTACTAGTTATCATTAATAGCAGGGCAATAACAAATCTCCACAAGCCCTTTTTGCTTTTTTACACTATGGTATTGTCTTTTCATTTTAATCAGTAAAGATGTTTGGTTACCTGATGTGGGCAAAAAGCACTTTACAAATCCTTGTGGCCAGATGCCCATGGCAAATACACTGGTGTAAATTTGAATAATTTAGTTGAGTGAAGTGATGCAGCGTGAATGGGTCCAAATGAGGGATGGCTTCTCAATCCATAAATGTGCTGAATTAATCATGAAAGAGCATTTGAGGTAAGTTCCTAAGCCAGCAGAGCACTTTCAATGCACCGTGTAGATGATACTGCTGACATGCTAAAGACTTCATTATCTCAATTCAAAGAAAATGACTGATTTTATGGATGTCTCTCGTACTTCTACTTCCCACGTTTTCTCAATGGCATGAACTGGGAAGGCTTTGGCCAGCCACCTGGATAAGTCTGCACACCTGGAATCACAAGTGAAACAGCTAATACAGATGGCAAACCAGCAGCAGAGTAAATTAGACTTGCGGCCCCTGTTTGACACAATCGAAAACGTAAAACAGAAGATTGCCCTGATGGAGACATACGATCAGCGCTTGGGTATGTCAGCCCTTTGGGTTCTTTTCTGTGGAGGGGGGGTTTGCTGATTTGCTGGTAGCTAAGTAGAGGTTCTGGTGCTACAGTCAGTCAGTTGCAACTCTTCGCTAGAAAGGGTTTCCTTCCTCTTGCATTCTAAGACCAAACCGTGATGGTGTGAGCCGTGTTCTCCCACCTTCCCCTAATGCACAATGTCTCCCGAATTCCTGTGGCACTGCAGGACCAGAGCGCTGGCCTTGGTCTGACTGGTGCACTGTGATGAAGGCCATGGTGCTATCCATCTTCAGGCCTTCAATCTGGTTTGTAGTTACCAGTGTTTCTTACGCAACTACCAGCTGCAATTACAATTTTAAAAGTTAACAGCTGAAGTCACACTACTTCATAGCCTGTACTCAGGCTTGGGTAGTTGAGTAGTTAAGTTTTGTCACCTTGAGTCTGGGTGCTCAGACAGTTTTATTTACGTTTCTCTCTCTCTTTTTTTTTGTTTTGTTTTTGTTTTGTTTTCCTATTTCTTTTTTTGTTTCCCCTTCTCTCAGTTGTTTTGGAAGATCAGTCCAGCAAACATGATGTCCAGATCAATATTCACAAAGCACAGCTCAATAAAAATGAAGAACGATTTAAGCTTTTGGAAGGCACGTGCTACAATGGGAAATTAATCTGGAAAATCACAGACTACAAGATGAAGAAGAAAGAAGCAGTGGAAGGCCGTGTCCTCTCCATAGCCAGCCAGCCCTTTTACACCAGCCGCTGTGGGTACAGGTTGTGTGCGAGAGCCTACCTGAACGGGGATGGCTCAGGGAAGGGAACACACATCTCTCTCTACTTTGTAGTGATGAGGGGGGAATTTGACTCACTGCTGCTGTGGCCTTTCAAGCAAAAAGTTACACTCATGCTTTTGGACCAAAGTGGGAAAAAAAATCACATTGTGGAAGTCTTTAGAGCAGACCCCAACAGCAGCAGTTTCAAAAGGCCAGATGGGGAAATGAATATCGCCTCCGGATGTCCACGCTTCGTGCCGCACACGGTCCTGGAGAACACAAAGAACACGTATATCAGAGATGACACTCTGTTTTTGAAAGTCGTCGTGGATTTAACTGATCTGGAGGAATTGTGAAAATTGTTCCCAATCAATGTGACTGCTTTAACCATTCAGAACTGCTTTCTTGGTGACTACCAGCCATGCAATAGTGAATTGCCACCAGTCAAGCTACTGAGAATGTTTCACGGCTTTTGGACTCATAAGAGATAATGAATTGCCAAAGCATCAGCCTTTCCTTTTTTAACCCTTTTTTCAAGACTGCATTTTTAAGGCAGCTAGAAGTCCAGTTTGATGCAAACATGCATTCAATCCAGATTGGCTCAGTCCAGGCTGGGGGGAATGCTTTTCTCCCATCACCAAACTGGTGTTTGGAGATGAAACTCCTCCAGTAACCTCCCTGGAGCCCAGGCAGGCCTGTGGGCTCCCATCCCTCACAAAGCAGTGAAGCCATGCCCAAACATGCAAGTGCATTTCACCTGTCTGCAATAGAAACATTTCAACATTAGCAAATTTGAATCAATGTGTCTTGATCCCTCCATCTCCTGGATTTTTGAAGAGGGGAGAATGGCTTCAGTTAGGCAGGGAAAATATTTGCCAAGTATCTTGCATTTTTATAATTTGTTTTAATTATGTTTTTCCAGAAAGCCCAGAGGAAGGCACCAATGCCTCTTACTTTTTTAGCCTGTTTTTTCGGCTATATAGAGTACGCCCAGGTCACAACAGCTTTCTTATGTCCTTTCCTTTCCTGCCTAGTGCCTTGGGACTGATTTCCATTAGTGGTAAACATCCACAGTCCCCATCTGAAGCCAAAAGCTGCAGGCACTTCTCACCTCTCAGGACATGGCCAGAGGCAGGGCACTCGGCCAGCCTGCCAGCTCTTGGCTGCACTGTTGGAAGAGGGGCAAAACTCCTTTTTCTTCCACATCTGTGCAAAATTGATGTTTTCTGGCCTACAAGCTTTATAAAAGGCAGGAAAAGCTTTGGATATCTGCCTGGGAGAAGGCCCATGTAACATGCGCTGTTTCTCTCTCCTAGAAATTGGAATGTTAGGGGAAGAAGGGGGAAAAGGGATTAGGGAGTGAGGTTGCAGTAGGAACCCAATTCTCACAGATAGTGCAGCTCTAGTCTTTGTTAAAGGGTGACACAGCCACAGTAACAACTGCTGACTGTGTTGCCTGAAGATAATTCTCATTCCAAGTTCCTTCCATACTGCAAGGGAATGTGTGCATTGTATGGGGTTTATTGGAGACCCACTAAAACTATCAAGATCAGGCACTGAGGAACAAGTGACACAGAATACACGTGCCTTTTTAAAGCCTTTTGGGTGCCTGTAACAGGGATGTAATTTTGCATTCTCAGCCATTTTGTTATTACAAGTGACAGAATTTTGCATCTCTCATCTCTCACAGATCAGGTAGTGAAACACCACAGCATTATCCATTGCTCCAAAGCTTATCAAGAGACAGCAAGACAATAAGCTGGATTTAGAGTAAGAGTAAACTAGGCAGGATAAAAATCAAAACGAGGCATGGACTGAAAGGTATAAGGCAGAAAATTCAAGAGGGCAAATGTGGCAAAATGAAAAATGCCCTCTCTGTGCGGGATGTTGATATCAACTAAAATAATTCAAGGTTTGGTACTAAGATGAAGGCAAAATCCTGTTTTTTGTATCTGCAATCTTATTGCTAGACATTTACTTTCCCACATGGTTTTCAGGACGTAACTCAGACACATATATTTTCAAATTGGGGGGTGGAAGGGAAGAGACCTGAGTAATCTATACCTCATGGTGGGTTAGCACACCTGAAATCTTTGTTTTCATCTAGAAGTCCTTTTTGTTTTACAATGTCAGGATGTACTGAGCCACCATAGGGGCTTTCCGTGTTCCCAGAGACAGATGGCAAGGAACAAATTTTATTCTTTTGTACCACCATGATTGACTTCAAGAGTCATTTCAGCTGTACAGCATAAAGAATTAGGCCTGATGGCCCTAGCATTGTTACAGAAAGAGAAAGCTTGGTTTGACAGTGGTGTGGCATTCTGTGTCATCAACCCTGAGCCTCAGATGTGGATTTCATGTTGATTATTACTTCAATATTTGTCATGTAACTTTCAAAGTGACACAACTTGCATAATAACCACTAATAACTGATGGAAATGTACCAACCATGTGTCCTGGGACTCCCCAGTACTTTGAGTGTAAAATACAGAAAATGATAAAGAACTCGGACAAGCGAGGGAGGCAAGATGGAAAGGATACGGTCTGTATCCTGGCAAATACCCAGCCCTCTCCACCTCCACCACCCCAAGCGTAAAATGGGGATAATAATACTTGCAGAAGTGTTAGAGCTATTTAAATGTTTGTGAAGAAGTTTGAGCATGAAGAGAGCTAGGTATTATTAAAACTCCATTTCTAATTGTTAGAGTAGGTGATGGCACAGTGACGTGGATAAGTGTTTCGTGTTTTCCTGGACAGATTTTGAAATCATGTTTGGTTTTAGCCAGTTTGTACTGCAATCTCTACCTACTGGTTGGGTTTAGGTTTTTGCCACGAATATTCCTCTTAAAATTTTGAAGCACAAATGATTCATCCTGGGTGTTGGAAACATCCCTTTTGAAATACTGCCTGTTTTCTAAATAATTAGTTGAGAAAATTGTTTTTTTTTAAAGGCAAGACCTTCTTTAAATTGGTTTTTTTATTACAGTAATTGAGAGATTTATGTTAAAATTTTCAGTGATTTTTTTACTACTTGTAAACGGGATTTTAAATTTCACCCCATTCCTAATAAAGAAAAAATATGTTTTATAGCATGAATTGTCAGGAAGAATTTTGATGTTGCATGAAAAAAATACCAAAAACCTTCTCAATAATATTGTACTGGATAAGTAACCAAAAGAGCTTAGGGTATTTCTACATCAGCATACAGTATGTTTCTAACGTATTTATTGACAGTTTGTAGTTGTTTGAATATCTCTTACTACAATGCATTTTTCTAGCCGAATGTCTTCACTGTGTACATAAACTAATGTAAGAATAAATAATTTTACCATCCTTCTGGAGTGAGTGTAGCCTCATACTCATTTTGGCTGGATTTAAGGAGATTTTTACAAGGATGTGGAGTACTGGATATTTATTTATAATGATGATGATGATGATAATAACCAACAAGCAAAAACAGTTCTTTAGATTAAGAATCAATGTATTTCATAGGTATTTTTGTTTACACTTGAATATTGTAAAGCAGCTGCATATAGAAGTTCAGTAAATTCTAAGCTAGACCAGACGAATATCCACAAGGTCTGAGGATCCACTGGAATCAGAATGGGATGTTACTTCTGTTTGGAGCCGCTTTGGGCTCAGCAGGGGTTGGATTTGTTTCATTTCAGACCAGAATCAGGAACTGTTCCAGTATCCCGTGATTACTTTGTGTTTGGGGACAGTATTTTAAAACGGGGGACGCAAAACTTGGCAGGGTGAAGCCCAGAGCGTTCGAAATGGGCTCGGTAGCTGTGTCAGCCCCGACCCCGTCGCTGTGTGAGGAGCAGGAAGCGGCGGCGGCGGCTCCAGCCCTTCCGGGTCGGCGGGCGGGCCCGGGCCGAGCGCGGAGAGGGGAGGCAGAGCGGGAGCGGCGCCGTGCCCATCCCGGGTGGGTCGGGCAGGGGGGATCGGGGCCCCTGGGGGTCGGGCGGGCCGGGCGCGGGGCCCTCCGGCAGCCGCGGGCGGTGCGCGGCCCCGGGGCCCCCTGCGCGGTCGGGTCCCGTGATCCAGCGGCAGCCTGACACGGAGGGGATGTGGGGAAAAACCTCCTTTGCGTCCGCACTGGCGGTGGCACGAAAACGAGGGGGTTGGCCTCCGCTTCCTGATGCGAGAGGACGCGGCTGAAGGCGCGGCCCCCCGCAGTGTGGTGCAGTGTGAGGGCAGGGTGACATGGCCCTGTGCCGCGTGCTCTGGGATGACCCTGCTTGGGCCGGGAGGTTGGACCGGGAGACCCACTGTAGTCCCTTCCAACCAAACCCATTCTGTGATTCTATGGGGCTGCCCTCAGGCGTGTTGGCAGGTTTCCTCGGTTTCCACACTGCCTTTCCCCCCCCCCCCTTTCCAAAATCTTTTGGAAATTATGTTATTGAATGTACTTTTGCCTCTTGACTAGATATGGATAACAGCAGGGATGAAAAAAGTAGGACGCTGTGTGCAACTTCAGAAGAAGGGCTGAAGGTCCGAGGTAGGCACTGCTGGTCTGTTGCCCTGCTCTGGTGTTACGGTTGTGATGCTCTGTGTCAGTCACCAAGTTGGACCCCGATACTGGGCATGGTCACTTGCTAATGGTAATTAGCAACCGTGTAATTAGTAACCATGGCACATGGGGGCTCACTGTGTTTAAGTTCTGTGAAGAGTCGTTTTTGTAGACCATAGTTACTAGCGTACTTGTCACTGTTACCTTGTGTTGTCCTAAGGAAAAGAAAAAAGGAAACGAAAACGCAGTAGAAGCAGATCATCATCTGTTTCATCCACATCATCTTCTAGCAGCACATCCACTTCTTCCTCTTCATCACGCTCTTCATCAAGATCATCTTCTTCGAGTAGTAGAGGTAAGCTACCTCCACATGTGCCCATGATGTTTACCAGTTTTGATAGTACTCCTGGAAACATTTAAAGCTTGTTTTAAATGTGGCTAAACCACCACAAAGTGACGGAGCAGAATACCAGTGCTGTGTGTTCAGTGTTTTTCTCATAACCTTTTTCCATTGCTGTGTTAAGGTGCCTCTTTACACACAGTTTGCAATGTTTTTTTGTTGGTTTAAATAACTTAAAAATAAAAAACTGCCATTTAAAGAAATATTACTTTGTAACAATATGTTGTGTATATTTAAACTCCTTTAATCATTACACTTCCAAAACACAGATCTTTTTCTACTTCACCAGTCTATTTAGACCTGAGTTGGGGTTTTTTATTCAGTCCGGCTTTGGTCTTAACATTTCAAGCATTTGCCTTTGAGGACTCACATAAAGTTGGCATGTCTGCAGAATCAGTAAATCAGGTATTTTCAATTTCCATGTTAGACCAGTAAGAGGCAGCCAGTTAATGTGTTGCTTTCCTCTGAGTTAGTTTCAACTGAAGTCAATATATGTAGCTAAATTAAGGCATTTTCTTTTTAGGTTTCACATTTCTGTATGCCTTATCTGTAAAAGCAAATGCCTTTTTCAAGAATTCTAAACTTGGAGGATTTGATTTTTTTGTTTGTTTTTCCTTAACTTTAGATTTTCCTAAGTCTAAATCAAAGAAAAAGAAAAAAGAAAAACACAACAAAAAGGTAAACATTTTACAAAGAGAAATAGGGAGTTAACAAACAATAACCTTAAAGGTCATGTGAGACATAATGCTGTTGTCTGTGGCTCTGTAAATCTGAATCATGCTTTTAGGGTTACGGTAGCTGAACTGATAGGTTGGCATTTAATTGACTGTATTCAAACAAAGAAATAATTTAAAAGTTACTTTTGCCAGTCATTGCAGGTCCAGCTAGCATTCAGAGTAGTCTCTGAAGAAAAGAGAAGTGGGGAATCTTGATAACTTTATAGAATTTGTCAGAAGAACTGATTTTTAGTCAGTGAGAGAAGCAGAGGTAGTAGATTCTTGCTGTAGTAATTATTCTATTTTATCAGGACCTTCTGTTCAGTGATTTTGTATATTGGGGTTAAACGAGGATGACAGTAAACGGGAGAGAACCGGGAATCAGACCATTTCGGTTTCTCAGGGTCCCAAGGGTTGCTAACCCTGCTGTGTTACTTTCTGTATTTCTGCTACTACCTGTCTGGCAGTGGGAAGGGCAAACAGAAGGGATGTCTTGACTAGTCAGGGCCTTGAGAGATACTTGTGGATTTGGTTTGTTTTACCCTTTTGAGTCTGTAAGCCTAAGAATATATGTCTTATTCTTGTAGAAAAGGAAAAAAGAGAACAAAATGAAGAAAAAGAAAGAAAAGAAGAAAAAGAGAGAGAAAACAGGACCTGTCCAGCTTTCCAAGGTATGCTTGTGTGAATCTGAAGCCCCATTACATTTTTCATCTAAATACTTAATCTGTCCTGTAATAAAAATTTGTATAACATCACCAGTTTTGTCATAAACAAATAGAAATCTGTCTGTATTGTTTTGAACAGTTAGGAAATATAAAAGAGTATCATCTGTAATTTTACTTGTGATTTGTAACATTACAAAAGAAAGCAAAGCTTTTTTAATGTGTGATCTCATTTTAGTTCTTTAAAAACAAAAAGAAGAATGAAAACTACAGCATGATAACTGGAAAGAAAATTAAGATGAAAATTAAGAAGACTAAGGAAGATATAGAGGTAAGAATTAAAACAGTCTATATATTCCTAAGAGAAAATACTGTATCTTTTAATATTTTTGCAATAGTACTGTCTTTTGTAGAAGAGTGAGTCTTGCACTTAGGGGTTGTAAATTGAGTTTAGCTTTTAGTGTGGCTATGATGCTATCTGAGACATTTTAATTCATTCTTTTGGCAGGTTTTGTGTTACGAGTGGGCTTGGAATACTCAGGCATGAGTAGATAAACTAAAGGGTGCTGGTGCTGGTTCTTAGAATTTCAGTCTCTAATGGTTAGCTGATTCATAGCTTTCTCTGCTGATATAATTTACTGTTTTTAATTGTACTCATCTTCTTTTGGTCTCTTGTGATCAATTGTGGTAATTGCTGCTTTACTGTGTTTTTCTAACACATGCAAAACTAGCCATTATTTAGAGAGGAATTAAAAAAAAGACAACGGTAGTATTAGGACCACGTGGCCATGCATTCTCTCAAAGCAGTCAAATGTTTTTGCTGAGATACCCAGGGAAATTGATATAATGGGTAGTGTTTTGTGCTATTGCTATGAGTGTTTGGACTCAACACTTAAAATAATACCTTCACTCTTTTCAACAATTTCCACACTTTAGAGTGGCCTGCAGAGGGCTCTGGTACTAGTCAGTATGTGTTAGAAGTGCTACTTCGTTGAGGTATATCCAGCTTGGCAGATTCTGGTTCAGCCATAACAATTCATTCTATAGCTACTGAAGCAGACATGAGCATTCCAAGTTAAATTTGATCGAAACTGCATTATCTTCTTTCTGGGGCACTGAAGTTTGTGTTAAATTATGCTTGTCAGTTCTGTCCTAGTAACCTGCTCATTACAATATTTAACATCAAATATCTGATGTTGGTCCTTTTTTGATTGGTTCCTGTGGTCTTGCTGAATTGAACAGCATCCATTCTTTACAGTATTTAAAGATGCGATTTTTTTATAAAAAACACTGAAACAAGTGTTTTGACTGCTTGAGCCATTTCTTACGTGAAGAAAGGACCTAAATTCAATGTTTTGTTTTGCTGCAAGCTGCTGGTTTTGCACAGAAAAAACAATTATACTTCCCAAAGCACAAGACTTGCTGTGTGTACAGTGAAAGTCTCCTCAGACACCAGAGAATAGCATCTGTTCTGCTTGTGAGTTCCCTCCTGAGCAGACTGTGAGCTACATGACTACAGCCCAGTGGAACCTCTGCAGGGAGCCACTTAGAAAATGTATCATGCAATAGTGACAGTGACAGCTTGTCTCCGAGGGCATCTGTCCCCAGGACCCATTGCCTGGTGCATCCCCCAGGCACTCACCCCCAACTGATAGCTAGTTAGATCCAGCTGTGTGAATGTGGATGTGAAAGCCCTACAGAAAACAGGGATCTGCAGCCTTGCTCCACTGAGTCTGTTCAACTGTTCAGCTGCTGCCTCTGCTTCTCTGCTCTACAGAGAGACCGGAACCGTGCGCAGCTCCTGGAATTTCTGAACTCTGCCTTGTAATGGGAAGAGTGCTGGCCAAGGACTTGTAGATATACCAAGTCAATGATCATCATGCCTAGCAAAACACTAAAGGAAAACTCAGGGAAAAGGATGCCAAGTTCGACAAGACCAGAACCTCCTGCTGAGAAGACAATCGAGATGTCCTTTTTTAATGGCAAAATGAAGAGTAGCTAATAACTTGCTAATGAAGATCCATGTCCTCCTTTTGAGATCCTAAGG